AGAAAACCACCACAGCCAGATTGATGAGATATTCCTAAAACGAAAATCTCTTGGCAGAGCAACACCATAAAGTTGATCAAATGTTTCTCAAAGTTGTCCAAACAGTCCGAACTCCAGCCCAATGGAATCAAATTCAATCGAATTAATCGCATTACACCCGGCGAGCAAACAAATCAAAGAAATCACGGCTCGAGCCAAATTAATCGAGGCCGGCGACGACTCAACAAATTAATCGAATCGTCCGGTATAAAATCGTGGACGTGCAGCAAGTAAATCAAATTCGGCTCGATCGAGCGCGGGAAAAGGTGTCCGACTTTCCATTTTCGTGGCTGAGAAGCAGCTCGGCTCTGGTGGACGCGGGAGGGGGCAGGGAAGCAATGGGGGACGGACGCGCGTCGGGTGGAGAAGGGTGGTTTTGATCGTCGATAGGAGGCACGGTCGCGGCTGGCTGATTGTCGAAGGGGGTGAGAAGAGAGAGGCTAAGACAGGAAGAAGCGGGACGGGGCCAATCAGAGCGGGGACTTTGAGGGTGTCGTTGCCTGGCAACGAAACACACCCCAACACCCGAGGGGAGAAAACCCCCGAGGGGGTATCATCCAGCGATACAGTCGACGCCGAAAGTTATCGCACCCCTGAGAGACGCCCCCTTTAACGTCGCCATCGAATTACGCCCTCGACGTCCGGACACTTGCGGGTTGTTGCGTTCGTGCCAGCCGAAAGGGATCGATGGAGACGTCGACGAGACGCTTCCACCTCGGTACTCGTTCGAAAATGATCGTTCGTGTTCTCCGCTGAGCCGGTTGATATCGGCTGAAGATACGCGGAATTTACGCGTGTGAAACGAGGAATGAGCAATTATTATTTACACCGTGATCCACGAATATATTCGATCTACCGAAATGTATACTCGAGCCAAAACTTTCCAACGTAACTCTTATCACTGTGTGTGTATATATATATACTCCTCTCTAAACTAAATATTGTAATTGATGAGATGGGAATAATATTTAACGTCAATTACAACGAACGAAAGCATAAGTAAATCAATTAGTCAAATATATTTATGGATTAATGTAGTCTACGCACATGTGTACGTCGTGTATTACTGCAATATGTACGTACATCGTAGTACAAATAGTTATTTTAAAACTCTATTAACCGACTTATTTTTTTTTCCTTTTTTTCATTACAAGCTGATGTTTCAGAAAAGTGACACGAACCACCAAAAAATAAGAGATGCGTAAAGAAATTGCTACATTCTCAGAACTCGCGCTCTTATTGCATGAGCGAAAGATGATAAGGTAATAAGAAAAATTAGCAGACATCTATTATTTAATACAAAAGTTCTACTATGCCACTCCACTTACACTTGCTGCTCATCAAATCTTCGAGTCATATCAATGCCAAATATCATCCATCACGGTAGCCCAAATATCTCAATCACGAAATGGCTTCACCCCGTTCCGTTCATCAACGTCAAACATCACGTCGACTATCATTCCGTCAAACTATCCGCCTGCGTCCCACAGCGAAATGGATTTACCTCCGTTGGTCGATCTCTTCTCCGGCGAGGAAGATGGATCTGCGGCTCTGGTCCTTGGCGCGCGTTCGTCGAAATCCGCTTACGAATATAAACATCCGTCTCCGCTGCTGGCTTTTCATCGTCATTTACGAGCGTTTCTATTTTTCTGACTCCGGTAAATCGCGGAGGCACCGAAAGGATTAAAATCACCCCTTCTCCAGGCCTCCTTCGACCTTTTCCATCTGTCTGTGTTTCCTTCGGAGTAGCTTGGCCCCTTTTGTCGACGTCTGGGGCCAGAGGGTGGATAAAACCACCCCTATTGATCCCGCTCAATGGATCTCTCCCTGCCCTTTCACCTGCAACCCGATCCCGATCCCAATCCCGATCCCGATCCCGCTGTTTTGACATTCCTCTCGCTCGTCTCGTCGTCCCAGTTTTTTCACAGGCATTAATAGAGCGAGGAGTGGAACGAGAGAAAGACAGAGAGGGGAGAGAGAAGAGATGGTTCTCTCTTCTCTTCGTTTGTGCCGTGGAGGAGAGAGAGATCCTTTTCAACGGCGAAGAACTTCCTAAATAAGCGTAATCCTTTTCAGTTAGTCGAGCGCAACCCCCCTTAGAAATCGCTCGCGTCGAGGATGCGCCCAGGGATCATGCGAATTCGATGAAAGATCCCCTGTCCCTTTTCCGACGTTTCGCCCCTCCTCCCTTCCCCTGTTCTTCCTCTTTCTTTTTTTCTCTTTTTCCCCACTGCTTTTTTCCGTTTTTTGTTCTTTGCGATTTGTGAAATGAATCGGCGGATTTCTGCTTATATTACTCGTTCGGTCTCCTCATTGTGTACAAACGGGGCGGGATTTCGAGCGTAGTTGCGAAGAAGATTGAGATAGATTTGGTGAGAGTTCTTCCAGAGATTTTGCAAATACCGTGAGATTCTCTTCATTGTGTTTTATAGCACTTTGTTGTACTCACAAGTAGGAAGATATAGTTTTTCATAAGTAATTTTTTATCAGATTCTTGTTTACTTTCCTTTTCTCTTTCTCTCCCACATAAGAGGGATTGTAAGAAGATTAGTATACAGAAATCAATACTAATGTACAGTAGTACAATAACATATGTAATAGTATATATATAAAGTTTAGTATATATATAAAGTTTATATATATAAAGTTACATATAAAGTTCAAAATACGAGTAGAATTTCCACTGTATGACAATAATTCTTCCGAAAATTTCTGTTAATAAGATAAGACTTTTCCGACCGGTATCACAATTACACACCATCTGAGGATTTTAAGCCGATGATACGAGTTATTCGCTTAACAGCGGATTATATTAATTCTAAAAGAAGTGGTACAACAGAAGAAAGATACCGAAGAAACGAGTTCTTCCTTCTTTCCTCTCGTCAAAGAGTCCGAAGTATAATTTCTTCGGCCGAAAGATGATGGAAACGAGAGGTTCAAACATTTTTGTCAAGGAGACTTTATTTCAGGGGACGACAAGCCAACGACCTCGTGCGAGGACAATGGAGAAGATCTTTTCAACGACGAAAAATTGTGAGAGTTATTCTAACCCTAATGATTTGAACTGTTAAATTTATTTCGCTTTATGTCAATCAATATCATTTGTTGTTTTAGAAAAAAGATAAAAGTCTCGAAGATATATTATGGCACACGAACGCACAAGCAAATCGAGCAGATTGTGAGGGAATTGAAGAAAACTTCGTATAAAAACAAGAAGTAAGAAGCTTAAATAGATTATGAGAGTCCAGAATTTTTCTTTTTTTTTTTTCTTTCTTTCTTTCTTGCAAACAAGTGTACAATCTGATTGCTTTTTAGAATGGCCATTTTGAGCAGCAGAGAACACACCTGTATCCAACAGTCTACGAAGAATAAAACCGAGCTTTGCAACGAGTTGTTGGATCCTATGAAGGTCTGCATTTTCATTTCAATTCCAAGAACAATTGACTTATTAATCAGTCCGCGGAATTTTTTTGTGACCATCACTAAAGTTCTGGCTACTCTAATAATTCTAAAAATTAATTAACTTCTAATTCTAATTTTCATGGTTTCAATCTGTCCAGAAATCTACTTTTCTAAAAAAAACGAAAGATATTCTAGTTTTTTCCTAAATTTCATTCACAAACGTTCAACTTCTACGTATTCTATTCAGGCTTGAAGTCTTGCAAATAAAGAATATTTTCGTAGCACAAAAGGTGTCCATTTTACAACGAGTCCAACAAAAAGAGGATTTCCACGTTTGAAGCCGTGGAGATTCGAGGTTTGCCTCCGATATGGGACATCGAAGATTTGGTAGCCATTGGAAAGAACGAAGAATCATGTCCATATTTCGCTGCCAGAAATCTCGCGGAGAAAGCAGACATTATTTTCTGTCCTTACAACTATATTATCGACCCTGATATCCGCGAAAGTGTGAGTCTATAAATTATAAAGTTTAATAGAGCTAAAGTGTGTGTCGAATGATAAAATGTTCCGTTGAATTTTGATCGATTATTCGCCGATTGATTCAGATGCAACTCAATCTGAAGGGCCAAGTAATTATTCTGGACGAAGGTCACAACATAGAGGATATTTGCAGAGAGGTTGCAAGCGTCAGTTTCCGCGAGGATCATCTCCAAGTTGTCATAAATGAATGCGAAGCTCTCGTAAAAGAAAGATCCGATGATCCCAGGGCTTACGAAATTCTGTGCTTGTTCCTTTCCAGAGTGTTAAAATTTTTGAGCTGCGTGGGCCTCAGAAAGATCGTAAGTCGATTGATTCTCGGAAATCATTTTTTTCTTAACTGAAATAGTGAAATATCAAAATGCCAAAACTTTGCAACTATGCTTGGTTAATTTAATTTATTTTCAATTTAATTTAAGATTCGATTTAAATTCTAATCAATAATCTTTCTCGATCTCCAATCTTTTTAACGTACCATACAAATTCACAGGACTGTAACAGCGAGACTCGTTCGAGTCCGTACTGGTCGGGTGCAGAGCTGTCAGAATTGTTCGACATTCACTTTATGAGCAAACCCCTATGTGGGGCGTTTATAGAAGCCTGCAACACAGCGACTTCAGACATGAATAAAGCGAAAGACGAGAGCAAAATATCTCGCAGAGTCATGAAACCCGTCATTTCACCAGCCACCAAGAGAGTACTTGATCATCTGGTATTCGCCATTCGGATGATCAATTTCACCATACATGCGAACGATTACAGGGCGTGTGTGACCGAAGCGATAGTAAATGATTTAAAAGCTGTAAGTGGAAAATTTGCTGTCTGCAATGCAAGTTTTCGCAAATATCATTTCATTTTCTTAAAGTGCAGAAAATAAAGAGGATTATTCTACGAAAGTTTCAGAACTTAACGTTTTTTCGAAATTTCAGGCGACTGGAAAGATATGGTCGCCAATTGACAATGACTGGATACCGGCAAAACATCGTAAACAGCATGCACGAACCTTGAAACTAATGTGCATGAATCCAGGCGTTATCTTTGCACCGCTCGCTCAAAACGCACGCTCTATAATACTCGCGTCTGGCACCCTGAGTCCAATCACGTCGTTCCAAAGTGAATTGGGAACGTCGTTCCCACATGTGCTGAGGACCAGCCATGTCGTACCTAAGGAGCAAGTTTACGCGACCTGTATATCCCAAGGGCCTAATAAAGTTAGCCTCAAGGGGATTTATCCAGTTGTGAACAGCTGGTCTTTCCAGGTAACTTCAATTTATATTTTTTAAATATAAATAAGATAAATTTTTCAGATATCACAAGATGACTTTTCCTGTAGAAAAATTGGTGATTCGTTGTAGTTATTTTTAAATATTGTTTCCCCTTTTAAGACACCTGATAGACTATCTTTTGCAGGATGAAATAGGTAAAGTGTTGTTAGATATTTGCGAATCAATGCCTCATGGAATCCTCTGCTTCTTCTCCTCTTATAACGTGATGCACAAGCATATAGAAAGATGGAAGAGCACCTTCACTTTGAGCAAAATCACCGATGTAAAGCACGTGTTCATAGAACCCCGCTATGGAGGTGATCTTGCAGATATTATGAACGAATATCGTCAAGTGATAGAGCAGACATCTGCTAAACAAGGGAGAAACATTACTGGAGCGCTATTACTGGCAGTCTTCAGAGGAAAAATAGCTGAAGGAATTGATTTTAGAGACGACGAAGCTCGTTGTGTAGTGACTGTGAGTTACTTTGTTTAAATCAGTTCAGTACAAATGAAAAATCATAAAAATATTTACAATTGTTTTCCTCAGGTTGGTATACCTTATCCAGTAAGGAACGATCCGATGATTGAAATGAAAATGGCTTATAACGACAAGAAAGTTAAGAATGGCTTGTTAAGAGGATCAGAATGGTATTCGATTCAGGCGTTCAGAGCTTTGAACCAAGCATTGGGTCGTTGCTTGAGACATATCCACGATTGGGGTGCTCTATTGCTAATCGATGAAAGGTTCGTGATAATTTAGTTAATTATAGAAATACAAACTTTTTAAGTTTCTAACAATATTTGATTTCTTTCCCTGTTAGATTTTTGCAGGATGAAACCAAGGAAAATTTATCAAAATGGGTTAGAGCAATGGTAAATTCCTTTGCGATACGTTCGAGCGATATTACTTTAATATGGAAACTTATTAAATAATTCATTTACAGTGGGTTAATCGAGAAGAGTACACTTTGAAAAAAGACCTTCGTCATTTTGTGGCAAAACAGAAAATGAGAGATGCAAAACAGCCAGGAATCGCAAATTAGTTAACGTGGCAATATATATATTTATCAAAATTATACACCTACTAACAATTGTGATTTTTTTATATATGTAATTATCTATCGAAAAATTACATATATATTTTATATAAAGAATGTATCAATAAGAGTGATGCATGTGTCGTAAGATTTAAGTTTCATTACAGTAATCATTACGCAATCTAAGAATTTCCTTTTCTTTTTTTTTAATTTCTTCTTCTTTAAGTACAATACATTTTTATACGTTTTAAATAAATGAAATAAATGCAATTTTTACTATAGATTGAGTGTATCTCTTTTTTGTATCATTCTCAAATGTTTCCTCTTGATCTTCTTCAATTTTGCAGTGTTTGTAATCTATAAATAAATATTACATTCAGTACATTTTTCACACTATTTGTAAGATTTCAATGAATAATACGTACAACTTGTACAATTTCACTCTTCCTTTGATTCTCTTCCGCGCGTTTTAGATTGGCTCTTCGTCTCTCTTTCTTTGCCTCCTTTTCCGCTTGTTTTTCTGCCTTTATCGCTCTCGACATCTCCTTAACGTGCTTCAGATTCTCTCTCAATTTTTGTTTCTTGTCGAAGGATAACCGTATACCACGTGTTTTCACGATAGATGAAAATCTGTTTACAAAACAAACAAAAGGTTAACCTCAATAAAAATACACGAGTTTCCTCCGTCTTCTATGTACCTTTTCTTCTCTTCCTTCCACACTCTACCAGACTTTGGTTTACCTTTGGGGATTTGTTGCTCTAACGACTTCTCTTTCTTGACTTTTGCTTTTTTCGTATTATCAGTAACATTTGTATTATTCGCACCTGAAACCTCGGATAACCTGTCATTTAATATCTCCTCCGCTGTGGTTACCTTTTCGTCGGTTGTCATTTTTCGTTAAGGATTTTTATTTCGCTAATAGTATTATAAACAATTATCGTTCTTTTTCAAACAGTAAACATAGGTTATGCAACCACGTGGTTACGATCACTATACTCAACATGAAGATATCTATGAACAAATGCTGACAATTTTCACCCGAAATAAATTTAACTATTTTAGCTATAAACATTCAAATGACATAAAGGAAAAATGTTGAGAGTCCAATTAAAAAGATAAAAATTCACGAATTATCCCTTTTAATTAGTTTTTTTTACAAATAAAAATTTGATCATTCTATGGACACTGAAACACTAGCGCCACGTAGCGGTGGAATATTGGAACTAATTGTTGTATCTGTCCTTGTCGCACACTATTGCCTTCTTTGTCTACAAAGTGCTGCCATCTATTGGATTTTTCCAATTTGTGCTTTTAGTTCCAGTCAAAATCAAAGTAGCTCAGATGGCAGCACTATTTGTAGACAAGGAGAGCAATACCGTACGACAAAGATAGGAACAACGATTAGTTCCACTATTTCACCGCTACGTGACGCTAGCGTTTCAATGTCCATAAAATGACCAAATTTTTATTTTCAAAACAAACTAATTAAGAGGAATAATTTGTGAACTTTTGTAGTTGTAGATTCAAAATTAGATGTCCAACTTTCTTTTTGTGCTGTATTTTGGCTACGAAATACACGAATAAAGATTTACAAATTTCACTAAATAGATCGAAGCATTCGCTCGACTAATGTTTAATTTCTTGCTAAAATATGTTCAAAACTTATATCGAAATCGAGTGCAAAGATAATTAGGAGTATTTTTTCAGAACAAATTTCATACATTTTGGATATAAATTTTTATTTAATTAATTAGTTATTAACAATTGCTGCATCTACCATTATTACACAAGAAAACTTAGGAATTTTTTTTTACATATGACATAAAGTATAGGATTCAAAAAAAATTCAGCAATCATGGAAAATATATTTTATTATATTTTTTAATTTGTTTACAAAATTATTAATTTAAAGACAAGTTAGATGTCACTGTAATCATCCTATATGCGTACTCGATTATTGTATATTTTATTACTAAGGAAAGAGTTGTTTAATTACAATGGAATCCCTTCAAGAAATATGTCAATACTTAAATCCAAATATACGTCTAGATTTAAAAGCTATTGCCTTGGAACATGTTCTCAGTAAATATTTATGATTGAAACATGCTTCATAACCTCAATTTTTGTAATCCTAACCTCTCACTCTTTATTAGTTTTCATAATAATCTTCGATTATTAGGTATAACTGGAACTGCAGAGGGACGAGAACTATTACTAAAACTTCCAGATTTATTGACGCAACTAATTGCGTTGACTCAAGATTCTTCGACAGCAATTTCCAAAGATGCAGCTCTGGCTTTGATAAATATAACTGCGGATGAACCAGGAACCAGCGCGTTTTTATTAATTTCAGAGACTCAGCCAAAAGATGGAAAATATAATTACAATCTAATACATGTTTGTATTAGGTAGATGCTTTGTTAACAAGACTAAATAATATTCCTCTGTTCTTCTTACATTCTTTATTTTTTCTTGTAGATTCATAATGGACAAAGAAAGCATTTTAGCAGATCCATGCTGCATGATCCTTTCAAATATGACCAGGCCACAGCACTTAGTTGATAGAGTTGTAACACTTATTGAAACGAGTGGTTATACATGGGACAGTATCGTTGCAGCATTCACTTTGAAACAGTATAATAATACTGGTGCAAAGCTTCATTACCTAGGTCCTGTTTTTAGTAATCTTAGTCAGTCTCCACGTGTCAGAAGGTAAATTATTAATTAAGCTTTTTAATTTAAATGTAAATCGTAAATTTACAAATTACAAATTTATTATCTATAGGTATCTAATGGACAGAAATCGTAGTGTTATCCAGAGATTACTTCCTTTCACAGAGTATGCAGACAGCTTAGTAAGACGTGGTGGAATCGTTGGTACTTTAAAAAACTGTTGCTTTGACGTGGAAAATCACGAATGGCTATTAAGTCCCGAAGTAAATATTTTATCACATCTTCTGTTACCATTGGCTGGACCTGAAGAATTTGATGACGAGGACAATGATAAGCTACCAATTAGTCTCCAATACTTACCAGAGACGAAGCAGAGAGAGCCAGATGTAGATATTAGGTACAGAAATGTGTCTATATAGCCATTTATATTTTTAGATAGGAATTATCATTTCTTAAATTATTTTTCAGAATCATGTTACTGGAGGCTTTAGCTCAACTCTGTGCAACAAGAAAGGACAGAGAAATATTAAGAGCGCAAAATATATACATAATACTCAGAGAGTATCATAAATGGGAGCAAAATAAAAATGCGCTGTTAACTTGTGAAAATGTTGTAGATATTTTAATTAGGTAGCAAACTTTATTCCGAATCGTTTTAGATCTCTTTCAACTTTGATCTTTTCACAATGTGATTTTTGACATTTTAGAACTGAGGAGGAAATAGGTTTGGATAATCTGAAGAACGTTGAAGTGCCGTCGGAATATACGGAGAAATTTCATAAAATGGATCAAGACTTTATTAACAATACATAATGAAGTGCACAATACGAATTACTTCATATTTTATATACACTGCACGAGAGATGTGCATATTATAATAAAACGATTCTCGAGAGAAATGAGGTTGCGCGTGATATTGCACTGTTCCCTTACTTCGTTTATCTATCTTTAGTAAAGTTATCAGGTCCTGTGTAGCAACATAGGAATGATAAAAATACAAATACGAATAATTGATCACATTCAATTAGGAATCTCACAAACCTATGCCAAATTATCGCCAATTAATATACATACAAACAACAGTCAAGAAAATGAATAAAACAGTTTTTTTAAATCTCAATAGACTTACTTTTATCTATAATTGTTAAGAATACGAAAATAAATGGGAAAAAGTTTACAAGTGACGATGCAAATACTTGC